GAAGTTATTAAATGTAGTGGATAACGACAAGGTTGCAAGTTACTTTTATAAATATATTTTAAGAAAATTGAATACTTAGAACCCGAAGAAGTTACACGTAGCAAATTACAGGATATTCCGAATCGAGACGTACAGGAAAGTATAAGAGATGTTGTATGTAGGCGTAACAAAGCTATACCTATCTATTTGGAGCTGAATGGATTTACGTTTCAACTGAATTTACATTCGTACTTACAAGTTCGATTTGAGCTTGAGCGCAGTTTGACAATGAAAAAGTATTTTTCTTTGCAACACTCGCCATTTAATAACTTTCGAGAAAATATTTCACATTTTTCGTTTTCTTCGTTTTTTTTTTTGTCTTTTTTTTACATTTTTTTTTACCAAAGAAAGGAATGTGAAATGTACCCTTAACGATGGCTTTTGCCTCTAGACATTTAATTTTTCGTTTGCATTTTCCAATATTTTATTAAGACTGAAATTCAAGAAAGACTTGAAGCAAATAAAAAGCATTTGGTTCAGCAGGTACTAGTTCAGATGCTTATCAGCTCAAGAGCTTTTCTATTAAAGCTCTTGAGCTGACAAGCAATTGGAAAATTTCGCTAGTATTAAATTTCGGAAATAGCGAGTGCTGTTTTTATTAGCGATGAAAGAAGTTAAGTTAGGTTTCCTCATTACTGGCATGCATAAAAAGGGTCCGTGTAATTGGAAACAGTTTTTTGGGTAAAATAATGTTGTAATGAATTTTGTTCCTGCCTAAACTTTCAGCTCTTTTTATTCAGAACTATTAGATGCACAGAGATTAGAATGAATTCTTTAAGAAATTGTATAGTAAGAATTTAATCAGTTTGCAAGAATTCACACTGTTACAACAGTAATGTCTCTCTGATTGCGCTACTTTTGGGATAGATTGAAGATCTGGAGGAAATTCAATCAATATGTTCAAATATTTTAAATTAAAATATTACCATTTGTGAGCAACTTTATTTCCGATTATCTTCGGTGGCTTCAGATTTCTCGAAACATAATATCAAACCATTTATCATAATGTAATTAAATTTCAAAAAGTCTAACAGAAACTTTTCATAATTTTGTTTTGTTAAAACTATCTTCTGCTATATGTTTACAAGAAGTTTACTAAATCGCTTTACTGATCAATAAAAAATAAGTGAAAAGTAATTTTTTGTTTTAACTATGGTTAAATGAAACGCTCATAGTTGTCACTGACATGGTTGACATATCTGACATGGCGGAGGCATATAGCATGCACACATGCAACTTTTTGGCGTTGGTCTTGCAGTTGCGTAAGTCCAGGTCGGTGCTAATGTCGGTGGTGTCTGTGTTGGCGGTATCGTCCATACTGTTGTTTCCCGCGTGTATGACGGTGTTGTCGGTATGCAATCTGTACCTCCGCAATTTATATTTATTATGCAGCCAGCACATTTTTTATCAAAACCTGAAATCAGAGAAGCCCTTAGAAATTTAGTTGAATTTTAGTTGAAAGTTGAAATTAGTTGAAATTTACGTTGAAATTTAGTTGAAATTTTATTTACCCTTAGTTGAAATTTACTTAGATTTTAAACGAACTTTGATCGATCATACTTTTTGTAATCACAATAGGGAACTGTAAGAAGT